TTTAAATGCTCGTGTATACGTACACACGTTTGCTAATGTTTGTTAAACTGCAAATGGGCAAAGTTAAACTCTAAGCGCCACCAGCTACCTATCAATCAGCGAATGACCTCGAAAGTACCAATCACGTGAAGGCGGCATTTTTGTGTATGGAATACATATATATTTATGAAAACAAAATGCACAAAAACTGTAGAAAAGTGTTACAGAGGATACCTTGCTCTCAAATGTGATAACAGTAGCTCGCAGTTTTAGGTTGGAGTATATCAACAGAGTGTAATTCCAATGTGGGTAAAATTTATTTTGATAAAGTTTTATAATGTTATACAGTAAATATTACTGTATAACACTACACGGTGTGATTATATCTGAATAAGATTTTCTCCTTAATGGTGTTATACTCTACCACCACAGTGCCCAAGTTTAATCCTTATATTATATTTCAATTAATTAATAATAATCGAAGAAGACATTGAGAAATGGTCGTGCTATGTCGTGAATTGGCAGAAGTTAGAATTCAAGGACCATTGGATAGGGTCCCGGTGGCTCAATGGTCTACGAGCTCGCCTTGTAACCAGAAGGTCCTGGGTTCGAATCCCGGTGGGTGCGTACTGCCGAAGAGTCCCAAACTAGGATGAAACAGCTGTTCAGTACTCCAGTGCTGGTTTTCCAGTGGTTCTCTAACTGATGTCAGCTCATAATGAAATCCCCCATGCAATCAAACAAAATTCCTACGAAACGAATACTTAATAATAATAATAATAAAAAGTACGCCTTTATTCTAAGCAACAATTTCTCACACAGAATGGATTTCTCAGCGTTGTAAGTATTACAACAATTTATCTCCTTTTCAAAATAATAGTTAGCGAACAAAGAATATTCTTCTCGATAACTTCATGATCAGGTTGTACAGTTACGTATATACATAATAGTGAATGAATGAATGAATTAGTGTTATGAACAGCATTAATGAAACGGATAGAAGACGCCTTGGTGTTGAATAGCTAATTATCCTATAAGATTCATTAGAAATATCAAAAAAGGTCAACAGCTAAATAAAAACAATGGTGAAACTAATAATGATAACATAAATAAGAGAGAATATAAGGCATCTACTATCATACCATATAAAGAGGGGACATGTGAGACCCTCTCCACATAGGATTCTCAATAAAGTAGGAATTAGGGTGGTGGCATTTAAATCCACAAACTCACTCAGGTAGGCCAAGCTGTATAGGTTAAAGGACCCATTGGACCCAATCAAACAAAATAATATAATTTACAAAATACCCTGCGATGACTGTGAGTGAGGTCAACTACACAGTTCAAACTAGTGGATCAGGAGTAGTGAGATTATCAGAACATAAGAATTTAGCTAAGGTAAGAATGGTTAACCCAGAGAAGATAAGTAATTTAGAAAAGAGCTCAGCGATTGCACTGCATGCATGCATTAACAAACAACCACACAATAGGGTTGAAATTCTTAGAAATAATATAGGTAGGTGGAGATAGAGACAGGTTGATTACTGAATCCTGCGTGGTTCATCGAGTCTACCCTCAACACATGCAACAGAAACGACTCAATGCAAATACCAGAAATATGGGAGATATTATTACCACCAATCAGTCAAATCAGAGGAGGATAATAAATAATCTTCAATTGTATTCTATTTCAATTCAATTCACATACATTATGACATTCTAACGAGTTAGTTATTTATTTTGACTGTAAAAGCACTCGTCTTATTTTCCCTCTGATTGTAATTGATCAATAACACTCACATTATTATTATTATTTCTGCAATGTACATTACGTTATTTTGATTTTTGTTCAAATGTCTGATGAATTTTACTCACGTATATAAATGAAGCTAGGAATTTGAATTAAGCGAGAACCACATGTTTTGCAGATTAAAGTGGTACCATCATTGTCTATTTCGTTGCCTTCTCGTCAGCTGCTTACAGATCAAAGACATAATTACATGTATCTACAAAAACAATTTTAACATACTTGCACCGGGACTTCATTTTAAACAAAAATCAATCGATCAATATACGCATACAATAATAATATATAAATATGTAATGTTAAACACTATTCTGAACAATTATAATCACACACAATGGAAACTTTTCAGAATTTCGCATTCGGATGAAAGAGAGATGAAAAATATCCAGTTACCAGGCAGCGCAAAGAAAGACTGATAACCGCTTCTTTCTGGACGCACAAATCAGGTTTCAGGCGCTTGATGGAGATTGCTGCTTCAGCAAACTTGAGGAGAATTGAACTCTTTTGCCTATTGATAATTTTGAACGATTTTGCGACGTCCACCTCATGACGCTGGTAACTGAATATTTTCATGTCTCTTTCATCTGAATACGTAATGCTGAAAAGTTTCCATTGTGTATGATCATTATTGTTCGGAATAGTGTTTAGTATTACATATGTATATTACTTTATGCATATAGTGATTGATTAATTTTTGTTTAAAATGAAGTCTCGTTGCAAGTATGTTAAAATTGTTTCTGTAGATATACTGAATAATGACTGTGGCCTGTAAGCAGGCAGCTGATGAGAAGCCAACGAAATAAATACTGATGGTACCATTTTATTATTCTGCACAAACCGCTGTTGTTCTTGCTTTATTCAAATTCATTAAGGGGAATAAATGTATAAAGCAAGAAAGTTGTGTGAGTGAGTGACTTGATATGATTATGAGTGGCAATGATAAATTGTGCTCGAAGCGTGGTCATCAGTTAATATTACTGTATAACGACACTGTGTAACTTTATCAAAATAAAATCTTATCTTCAATTGTTGGTTTGTAGGGATTTGATTGGTTACAGGATTTTCATCATGAGCTGACATTAGTTAGAGAACCATTGGAAAAACTACAGGGAGTACTGGACAACTGTTTCGTCCTAGTTCGGAACTCTTCATCAGTACGCGCCCACCGGGATTCGAACCCAGGACCTTCTGGTCACAAGACTAGCGAGCTCGTAGACCACTGAGCCACTGGGACCCGATCCAATGGCCCATGAATTGTAACTTCTGCCAATTCACGACAAAGCGCGACCCCTAGCCAATGTCTTCGCTGGCGAGTATTTGTCCTCACACCCGACCTGCTGCACCCTACTGGTCACGACTTCTCACTAGAACCCTAGGTAACTACCACCTACCTGAATAGGGCAAGTCGCTAGTGAGCATCTCATTGATATTCAAGTGTTGGTTTGTAGGGATTTCTCTAACTAATGTCAGCTCATAATGAAAATCTTATCTATCTATAATGTAGGTGTGCTCTACCACCACCACAGTGCCCAAGTTTTATACTTTATATCAATTTCTCAACTCTTTCTGTTTTCCAATCAGGTAATAGTAAACTTCACATTTCACTTATTTAATCAACAATGTGATATTCCTGTTATTATAAAAACAGAAATATAACTAACTACTTTTTTTGAATGTTAATACTATGCTAACTTAGCATAGCTGTCATACAAAATATAGGCTGTGATTATTGTGCATGAGAAGGATAAGGGTTTCAACTCGTGAGTTACACTTCCTCTCTTTCTTTCGTGCTTTCTTTCTTTCTTTCTTTCTTGGTTGTTCTCTTGTATGTGCTTTTCATTCTCATGTGGTTGATAATTTATAAAGAAAAAAAATAAGTATTTTCCACATGTTGTTTGTATATGTTTTCACTTAAACAATGAAAAAGCAGGAATTAACACGGAATGTGTTACCCCTGACAACCACTTGTGATTCCATAATGTTCTTAGTGTTCCGTCACACCCTTATTTGTATGTGATCTGATGAAGGTTATTGATACCACTCAGGAGGGGAGGGGACGGAAGGGGGTGAGTAGAATTCGAACCTGTGACCCACTTGGTTGGATGTCGCGTGAATACACCGATATGAATGTGAGCGATTAACTGTGCTAAAAGCTTCATCCAGTTATTAGTACTGTAGCGTGTGACAACATTTATTAATAGTATATATAAAACAGAGGTGATGAAGATTCCTGGCCAACAACAACAGACAACAATCAGCATAAATGGAAGAAATCTGAAAGAAGCAACCTCTCTTACCTACCTACCTACATAGCTGGGAAGCATCGTTTCACCTACAGGTGGACTGAACTGACGAGGATATCAGAGCAGGGAGTGTGTATCGTGATGGCGAGTCACCTAGCATGGTGGCCACATTGCAAACTTAACTGAAAGAGTTCAGTCTGCAGTAAACAAAGGACTAGATACATCACGCTACTTAGTGTCCAATCAGAAGTACTTGTAATGGTACTGATTGTTTCCTTGACATGAAGTTTGGCACTGTGTGTATGAGATGTCTTTCCATTCGATTGGTAAATTTTGTCTATGTCAATGTGTCTATTAATTGATGGTTCACTGGAATACCTAGTGGGCTTCTAAAAATTCAGTGGCTAGCATTCTTAGTGTTTCCTCGTCACCTTCGTATCCATCATCATAAACTAGCCATCAAAAGACAATGATATGCACTCCCTTCCTGATATCGCTGCATACAGAAAATCACGGACATCAATTCGACTGGGACAACCAACGTTCAAATATTAGACAGAGGAAACACCAAGAATGCTAGCCAGAGAATTTTTAGGATGCTCACCGACCGTGCGCATGGTCTGGGGTTTCAATCCCCGTTCTACGCATACCTGATACCAATCGTTGGGCTGCTAAATTTGCGCTAACGATATCACTTGTACCAAAACACTGTGTGGAATCAAGGTATAATAAAATTTCTTTTAAATCATCCACCTGAGCTAAAAGTCTTCTCCACTACACACAAGAATCTCTCTCAAATACTACAGAATTTGGCGCCTACACTTTTTTTTAATTTGAAGTCCTTTTCAACTGAAGGGAACTGATTCACAATGATGTAGTTCTTCTTTACGCTGTAATTTTTATTTTATTTTAAAGATTTTAAAATAGCTTCTTCTTCTCTCTCTCTCTTTCCCCCTTAAAAAAACATACAGGTCGATACTCCAATTCTTACAACAACAGACTGTGAAGGTGCTGGTCAAATGTTCACTGTTCAATCCCCTGCATCCAATGAAACCAATGATGTGATGAATAAATCGAATGTATTTTTAACTGGTAGCGCTCAAATGCATTTAGAGTCCCTGGTTTTAGGATTAAGTAAGGTATACAATGATACTCTTTTTTTCAAAACATTTTCTTATTCTTGCTTTTTAATAAGGAAGGTTAAACTGTTAGGTGTGATTTATATATATATATATATATATATATACGGTTGGTTGGTCGCCTAAGATCCAACTGGTCCAGGGTTCGATCCCCTGTTGACGCTTCTCCCTTACCTCGGATTGATCTCCGACGAAATCTCAGCTCGAATACAGAGGGCTAGTTTCGCATATGCCAGTTTACGCGGTCTCTGGCGTATTCGTGATATCCTTTATGGCTGTGAGACATGACGATTGAGAGCGGAAGACATGAAAAGATTAGCTGTCTTTGATCATAGGTGTCTGCGTTCTATCTCCCGCGTGAAGTGGTATGATAAGGTGAGCAATATTGAGGTTAGGCGACGAGTGCAATGTAAGGCGGGGAAATCAATAGACGAGACTGTGAAATTACATCGACTGAGATAGTTAGGACATGTGCTACGTATGCCTATTCATCGCCTTCCTCGACTGTTGGGCAATGTTAGCTGATATAGGGTCAGGCTGGAAAACAGCTAGCGGCGGTCAAATGAAAACATGGCACCAGTCAATGAAGTCCACAACAGATAGTTTAAGCCAGCAACGTAGGAAGGTGTAGACTTCCTGGTTGGGGTCCTCGGGACGGTAAAAACCGATGGCTGAAGACAATTGGTGACATGGCTCAAAATCGTTCTCAATGACTGGAGCAGATGCATCCACTCCTTGTGACTCATGATTTCCAATGAAACTGTTTTGTTCTTCGTTATTACAGTTCCTTTGTCTCACACCTCTGTTTACTGTCTATGTTATGCATTTCTCCTACTTTCTTCTTTTGCTTCGTGTGGTAAATGGAGGGAGTGTGGCGACTTGAACTGCCGCACATATGTGCAAAGTTCTATGTCGAAAACCATCCGACCGACCGATTTCCCTAACCTCACTTAATTGGTAGTAAGGCCACAGTAAAGTGGTGAAGGTTTGTCCTCAGGTTAGTAACCCTACCCTGTAATAAATTCACAGTACTGTTGATTTCTACTGGCTTTCATCACTTGTGCACAGTTAATTCAACTTGTCAGTCTGCGTGTACAACAGCTATTTGTTGCACCATACTGAAGATCAGATGGCCAGAAAGGATTGACCGACTGACTGACTGGTTTGCACTGATGTGCACCAGTTCGAGTTGCCGCACTCTGTCCTTGTAGCACACAAAGCAAGAGAGGAAAGTAGAAGAAATGCAAAATGGATACAGTAAACAGGAATATGAAACAAAAGGAATAGTAATATCGAAGAACAATCTAGTTTTATTGGGTATTATGAGTCACAGGGAGTGGAGGCATCTGCGCCAGCCGTTGAGAACGATTTTGAGCTATATGACCAGTTGTCTCCAGCCTTCATTGGTTCTTACAGTCCTGAGGACCCGAACCAGGAAGCCAATCTACACCTCCTCACGTCACTACCTGGCTGGCTTAAACTAACTGTTGTGAATTTCATTGCCAGAAAGGATTAGTAACAAGAAACTCTGGCAATGGATCAACGGAGAACCCTTTGCCCAACATATGCGCCAGGCGAAATGGAGATGGAATGGATACACTCTGATGAAGTTATTCAGTGACATCGAGTGCCAAGCCTTCAAGTGGAGCTTTGACGGGAAACGATGAGTTGGATGTGATTCTGAAGGTGATGTGAACAAGATCGTGTGGTGAGGAGGAGGAGATCAGAGCTTATGGACAATCGTAGAATTAGCTGAAGACGACTGTATATAGGACACGATGAAATGGAGATGTGCTTTGGAAGCCCTACGCTCCACTCGAAATTTGAAGGGAGTAATGATTATACATTTCTTATGTAAGGGATATGATATGACATTCTTTATATTTTCAACAGTGGCTCAACAGTAGCCCAGTAGATGAAGTTTCGGTGTTTGAATTGATGACTGATGGTGGGTTCGAGTCTCATTGGGGCGAAGGGGGGGTGGGAAACAATCACTCATCTGGTTCCTTTTACATTCAGTCGACCAATCCGAAAGATGACGAAGCGTATGTCCTGGAACCCACTGGAACACAAAAGAAATCACTCTATAATCACAAAGAAATCCTTTAGACAATCTTTTGAAAATATAAGAAGGTTCATTATATATTTTAAGGGTAAATTACATATCTCGTTTATTGATTATGTTGAACCCGATATGCTCAGTCACTCTTGCCACTCTGGCTCCGAGTACAGACTCTTCGACGACGTCTAAGGATTATAGTGAAGTTCTTTTCTGGTTGATAATGTCTAGCAGTGGAATCCAGGATGCGCATTTTGTCCTAATTGGGACTCATCCTCTGTATCTACCTTGATCTCCAGTGAGTAATCCTACTACTCCCATTGAGACTCGAACCCCGCACTCAGTATTTTAAATGCCAAAGCATTATCCACCAGGTAACGAGAGTTACTCAACTGAAACTTAACGTAATATTTTATTTTCATTGATAGTGTCTAAACATCACTCATTGGAAATGTGGACATATTTGCAGATGACGAGTCATAGACAGTACGAAATGCTCATCCTGATGGGGTACACTGCTCTAGCCACTATCAAAGATGAAAACAAAACTTTCACGTCTAAATTTACAAGTTGATTTTAATTTCTCGTTTCTATTAGCTTTAATTTTTTAATTTTATTGGCAAAGTTCAACAATAGCGTCCCAAGGGATGTGAATGCACGAGTGACCTTCAGTCGACTAATCATAAAAATGAAGAATTTTTACACAAAAAATGACGTATATTTACAAGAAAAGGCATGAAAACACAATAAACAGGATGATATGACTAAAAAATACTTCCCAGTTATCATGAGGAATATCAGCTGCTAAGTTAGACTAGTTTCTGTACATGTATTCATGGAGGTGACTGTAGATGAGCTATTTTTATGAATCGTTTATCTCTCTTATCCTGTTGTACAGTCTTCCCTAAAAGCCCTCGGTTGAATAACTATGGTTTTGGAGTAAGAGGATCGATGACTACTTACCAGGAAAATGTGCGGATGGATGACCCACCGACGACATTGGTTGGGGTCGTGCTAAATTATTATTATTATTGTTTCCTTTAATTCCTAGAGGAACATAGGGCTTCAGCCGTGCCTCTCCATTGCGTTCGGTCTTCTGCTAGAGTCTTCACCTGGCTCCAAGTCTGACCACACGTTTTCATCTCCCCTTCACATGACCTCCTCCAAGTCACCTTTGCACTGACGACCAACTCGCCGCCGCTTCCCTTTCGGCCGGGTTTCACTCGAGCAATGGCTTGTCTAGTGATGTCACTTGATGGTTGGTTTCCTCAGAGTATGACCAGCCAATCCATCTCCATTTCTTCCTGCCTGTTTGTTTCACGATCGGTTCCTGCTGGGTTGGTTCGCTCATTGCCAGAGATCCCGCCCTGTTGCTGATCTTTTCTGGCCGGCCATCTGATATTGAGTAGTATTGAGCGAAGACAGCTAGCTGTTGATGAAGGTGTGTAGTTTGTTTGAGATGCTCTTTATGACGCGCAGTGCAAGTCTCTGATCCGTATAGTGAGTAGCACTGACTTCACATTGGAGTTGAAAATCCGGATCTTATTTTTGATGCTGAGTAGTGCTGTTGACCTCCACACAGACTTGAGAGTAGTGAAAGCTTGTTTTGCTTTTCCGATCCTTGCTGCTTTGATATCCTCGTCAGTTCCGTTGGCCTGTAGTTGAAACGATGCTTCCCAATCATGAATTGGTAGAAGTTAGGATTCATGGACTGGCCATTGAATTGGGTCCCAGTGGCTGAATGATATACGAGCTTGCCGGCCTCGTAACCAGAAGGTCCTGGGCTCAAACACCCTGTTGTGGAGTGCGCACTACCGATGATTCCCAAACTAGGATGGATGAAACAGCTGGCTATCCACTACTACAGTGTTGGTTTTCAATGGTACTCTAACTGATATCAATCCGCGATCAACTCGTAAAAACAAAAGTGATCTTTACAAACCAACTATAAAAAATTAAAATAAATGGCATCAACTTTAAATCTATCCTTAACCCCCTTATTCAAACCGTAATTCTAACCCTAATGCTAATTATAACCCTGATCCTAACCGTAACCCCTTAACTCTAATCCTAACGCTAACGAGCTATTAACCCATTGTCGAAACACTACTTAAAAACATGATCTGTGTGAAATTTGCTGCTTAGATGGCTGTGATGAATATCGTTGATATTTAATCTATGATAATGACAGGTCCCATTAGCCAATGGCTAGCATGCGTCCAAGGTCATTGGGGCGTTCACACTCCTTGAACTTCGTCATTATATTTATAATATCTTATTATTACATAATATTCATTCCTGCATAATGTCTGGAAATCAAATCATGGAAGTGTTGAATTGATGAATGACGTTGACGTATCATGCATAAATCGATCACAACAGTTCGCTCTTCCTGAAACTGACTAGTTATTGAAACAAAAGACTGAAATGGCAACAAAAATCTGGTGCGTGTGTATACGTGTGTGTGTGTGTGCGGGCGCGCGCGCGCGCGGGTTTGTGCGTCTATATATCAGAATGAATGAAAAACGACGGACAAGGTATCTGTCCTAACTATCTAATATCGTTATATACTATTTCGTTACAATCGTAGTTACTTACACACATTTTTTTTGATTATAGCTTTATCCCATACCGTATTTTTGGTACAAGTATGGAATTTTCAGCGTGTGATATCGGTAGCCCAAATTTTGCAGGCCGACCATAGATATCAGGTGTGCGGCGGCCTGACCATGTTCATGGTCGGCGAGAGTCCTAACCACTGTTCTACCGATGCAAAGTGAATCAAATTCACTAATTTCACTCCCTTTGACAGTTTAGTCGAAACTTGTATATTATTATTTTGAAGGATTTTTCGAATAGCGCTGAATGTCCTGAATAGTTTCAACAATGAAATATACAGGCAAGTAGATGGAGTAGCGATGGGTTCTCCCCTCCTGGTCGA